TGCCTGCTCCGCCATGGCCGCCCGATATGCCTGCTCCGCCATGGCCGCCCGATATGCCTGCTCCGCCATGTCCCCCCGCTCTGCCTGCTCCGCCATGGCTCCCCGCTCTGCCTGTTCCACTTCATGGGCCTGGCCCGCCGTCCCTCCCCCAGTTCCACCTCCACTCCACCACCCTCCTGGACTTTATGGGTTTTGTTTGGCCGTCTGGAGCCGTCCTTAGAGGGGGGGGATATGTAATGTGGGGTTTTGTTTTTGTTTCATGTTCATGTTCATGTCTTTTTATTATTTAGTTTAGTCATGGTCCCTGTTTGTGTCATGGTTCCCTTGCCCTCATGTATCTCTGCCTTGTGTATGTGTCATGTTCTGATTGGTTGTCCTAGTCATGTGTCTTGTTTCCCATTGGTTTGTTCTTGTCATGTGACCCTCTTGTTTGCTATAAGTAGCCATCATGTTGCCATTTTCTCTCGTCATGTATTGATGTTGTAACCCGCTGTTGGTGAGTCTAGTCTGTTCATGCCTAGTCAAGTCTGTTCATGTCAAGTCACGGATTATTGTATTATTGTTTGGATCACACTGTAAATAAACTGCACTTGGGTTCTCACTTACGCTCACCTTCAGTGGATGATTCGTTACAGAAGGTCTCTTTGTCTTTTGGGGACAATTGATTTAATTTAGTACTCTTACAAATAATAATCTGTGATATTATTTTGCTGTTGTACTATTTATTATATAAATAAAACAATAAATAAATAAAATAAAGCTAAGACCCCCGCCATGTGGCCTCCCAGCCTGACCATAAAAAAACCCCTCTAAAACCAGACTAGTTTAGCCTGGGAGACCAGCATGGATTAGCTAACCAAAATATTGATGGGTACAGTGTGAATCAGATTATGTTTTGAGAAATTGCCATGACAGAGGTGCTTTGTGGTAACACAGCAGCAGCAATTGTTGACTCATCAGCTTGCCAATGAAAATGCTGTTCTCTTGATCAAGTGAAAAAATGACAAGCAAGAACTAAGAACTGTGTGACAGGGAAAATCTTTAGAAGTATAGTTTTGTGTGTGCGTGTGTGTTTTAAGAGTTCTCTGAAAGTTGTTCTTGGAAAATGCATTAAAGGTAACAAGGGAATGTAACTGTTTGTTTATCTGTTCTTGGGTTTTCTTTCTGCAGGTTAGGTGGAGGTCCAGATGATGCAAAAGAAACCATGCAGCATAAGTTCTTTGCAGGCATTGAGTGGCAAGATGTTTATGAGAAGAAGGTGAATAATAATAATAATAATAAAAATTCCTTTTGGTAATAGAGAGGCCACTTACATATAATATTGTTTTTCTGTTTCTCCACAGCTTGTTCCACCCTTTAAGCCCCAGGTAACCTCAGAAACAGACACTCGCTATTTTGATGTGGAGTTTACAGGTCAGACCATCACCATCACACCCCCAGGCCAAGGTGATGCCCCCTCTTACACTACATGTTAAAAACTCTCAATTAACAGGTATTTGGTTAATAACGAAGGCGCCACCAAGTGGTGATTTACAGGTTGCTCTATAAAAATAGAGAAAATGTTTAATTGGTTATGGTTGTTATCTGTGTTGTTTAGTTTTTTTGTTTTGTTTTTTCAGATGAAAACATGGAGTCCTTTGACAGTGATAGAATACCCCACTTCCCTCAGTTCTCATATTCTGCCAGTGGCACAGCATAAAAACCCTTTAAAAGAATACTTGACCTAGAAATTTCTGTGATCATTTACTTACCCCCATGTCATTACAAGTCAGTATGACTTTGTTCCTTATGGGAAACTTAAATAGATTTTTTTATTAATATCCTGGCAACCCTTCCATTTTTAGAGTTTGATATCATGTCCACACTACTGCAACAGCTTCAGATTGTCTACACTTACTGGATGTATCAAAGTGAAGTTACAATCCATTCGTCCAGTTGTCAGAAGGGTTCATGTGCATGGAGTACACCAAAGATAGAACGGGACATCAGTTTACTGTTGGATATTTGTTGTGTTGCGCAACGTCCAGTGTATACAGCATCACTAGTTATAAGGTTCTGTTTGCTTTTGCGGTGTCACATCACAACGCTTGTGTAGACATGGTGTGACAGTCACCAGATTTGTAACAATATGAGGTTAAATAAATTATGACAGAATTTTCATTTTGGGGTGAACTGTTCCTCACTAATAACACACACACATGTTCTACACAAGTACACTCCCCTGAGACACTGCTAATAACTTATTCATAGCCAGTGCTGCACAATATTTATTTTGTAGTAACACCCTTCAATACTGGATTCACAATGTAAAGATTTTATCGGTGATCATTATTCAGTCCAATTCTTTATTGAGCATGTTGCTAGGTTTTTGAAACCGGCTCGAAACTCTGTTAGTCATTTATAAATTCTTACAAATGCACTTAAATTCTTAAATTTTAAGACATCACCAAAAATGAAAATTCTGTTATCATTTACTCACCCTCATGTTGTTCTTTCTCATGTTTTTTTCTACATAAGTTGTACTTAAAATGTGGTTCTTAAGTATGAATGTAGTGTGTCATGGTTGTGTCCTGTGAGGACACAATATTACCTGAATACCAAAGAAGTGATGAATTACAGTTACGTTAGAGACTTATGTTTGAGTATAATTTTTTTTTAAAGATGGTTTGATTCTATTTTAGAATTGTCTTTCAAAAGATTCAAAGCATTTGCCAAAATCCACTCAGATTTTTCTCAAACAGAACAGCTACGTCTAGAAATTCAGTATAGTAGATTGTTTTGCACCATTGAGGACATCACTATTTGCATGATCTTTACAGTGATGAAACTGAAGGTTTCAGCTAGTGGTAATAGAGGTTAATTAGTTAAATAATTTTTATGTCAATGCAATTTACAAGATTTCTAAGATCTGTCGATGATATTTATTTACACTTTCATGACTCAAAATTTTTAAAAAAGCAAAAGAAAATGAAAAAAAAAAATGCCTTCATGTGAGTTTATTATAGCGGGAAATGGTTATACAGCATAAACTAAAATTGCCAAACAATCGATGTAATTAACTTAATAGCATTCTTCTTACATGGATTTATAATTTAAACTTTTTTTTTTTTTTTTTTACATGTTGCATGGTACCCAATATTTATTATATAATTTTAAATGTTGTATTACATGAATTTATTTAAGAACTGCATCCAGTTTCCAGACCCTTCATTTTTTTAAATACGCTGCAGTAAATTCAAGCAAAACAGTTTATTTGGCCTTTATTTCAGTGTGTTTAATGTTTTATTGAAGACATTCGGATAAAATTATGACGTTTTTTTAATTGACGTCAACAACTTGTCAATGGATTAAGCTGTAAATTTTTTTTTTTTGCAAGCCTCTGCAAATGTAGTGTATTTTAAAAGCTGCATAATAGTATAAATAATATGACAAGCATGTTTCAGCATTTTGCCCCTTAGATAAAACATCTAACAAAAACAGAGCATTGATTTGGCCAGTATTTGAATAATGAAACCCTTAAATAATATTGAATGTTGTTTGGTGGTCTATGATGTGTATCACTATATTTTTCTCTTTTTTTTCTACTTGCTTTTATATTTTATAAAAGTTTTTCTAGTTCACTAAATATGAAACATTTTACATTGATACACTTCATTTTCAAATTGTGAATGTTTTTCTAAAAAAAAACAAAAAACATGAGCTTCAGTTATTTGAGTTATTGTCTTAGCAGAATAAGGGACAAAAATATTATACCATGTTTTGAAAGAAAATAAATTAAAAACCATATCCTCTTGTTTTTGTTTATGTGTCTATATATATACCATAACCTCTCGTATGTTGATGTGTCTCACACCTTTAGAAGAAAAATGATCATGCTTGGGATATTGAGATTATACAATATTTGTCATTTTCATACAATGGTTTGAGATCAGTTTATGTAGCATCAATTATAGACATATTTAAGACACATAGACTATATGAATCAAAGTATTGTGACCTTTTTACTTTTTTTTTTTTGAACGCTTACACAGTTTCTGAAACTATTAGTCCTTTTCTCTAAACTCTACACATAAACCCACAAAATATGCACAGAACATTTTGACATTGCTTGTTCATTGTGCAGTGGAGTGCACAGGAGTTTGTCATAGCACTCACACATAAAAAAATACACTGTAGGTACAGTGTGCATGCACAATTGATCAACTTTACATTGAACTGAACTGACTTGAGCTGTACAAAGACACTATTGGCTTTAGAGCTGCTTTACAGCAGAATTTGAATTACTACTGCTTTGAAACAATCTGGATTGTATAAAGCGTTTATAATAAAGGTGACTTACTGTAACTTGTATACATCTTCAGTATATTTACACAGAATTACACAGTACTATATACAGATGTTTTCCCACATGATCATTGGGTGTATGTAATCAGTAAATAAGTATGGCATTTAAATGGCAGTGTTTCCCAGATTAAACACAAGAGCTGTGTCTAATGTAGAGAGCTGTGTTTAGTGTTTTGAAAAAAGTTTGTTTTACAATTGCAAACTGAGTGTAAAGCAGATAATGTGCTTGCAGTTTTGCAGACTTGGTCTGAAGAATGGTTTCACTATGTGCTTAAAGTACACTTTTATTGTGTAAGCAATTTTAAAACACTATAACTACTTAAATGTTTAACATAGTAAAAACCATCTTTTAAGCAATATATAATCCAAAATGATGATTAATACTTTAAATTTCACACCATGTGTATATAAGAACACATACATGAATATATGGGCTATATGAGTCAAAGTAGTATTAAATTTTGACGATTCTATTTTAATGTGTATTAATATGCAGTATTAGCAAAGCAACTCTTAAGCATTATATAATGTAATAATGCTTATCAAAATTCTAAAAAATGTTATACCTTTACTTTTTTAAAGTATCTCCAATGCATTGCATGCGAAAAATCTATTAAAAATTCATAATCACATTGAAATATGCACTGAAAAATTAGGATGAAGGCAAATATAAAGGTAGCAATAAAAAAATGAATTCAAAATCTTTTTTTTTTTTTACTTTAAAACTGTCAGTGCAGTGTCAATAACTAATCACAACCAACAGCTCGTTCCTTCTTCATTTGACTATATAGACCTTTTCATTTTTTCCCCAGCACATATTATTAAAATAAAATATGATTTATTTATTTAATTTCATTTCCTCCTCTGGATCCAATGAAAAAGCCAGTGTCTTCATTCTGGATACCGACTCGGATGCTTGGTGGTTCAGTGGTGTTGCAGTATTCCGCTGTAGAAATTCACCGGTGGCGGCGCTGGACGCAGATGCCATGACAGCATCATCTGTGTCTCTAACGAGAGAGGGTGTAGTCTACATGGAACCACAACACTGATGAGAATCTAAGATCTTTTAACTGGATTTCGCAAAGTAACATCGTGTAGTCGAGGAAGCGCCTATCGTATTGCGGAAGGGGACATTTCTTTTGTTTATCTGGGCGAGATCAGTGCATCTGGAGTATTGTAGGTAAGGTTGGAGGATATTCAGCATCATCAGGGGCTGAAGATAAAAAGCCAGATTCGCTCTAGATTTATAACATTTCACACTTGAAGGGTAATGTTTTTGCTACGTGTCATTTAACACGTAACATTTCTTGTACAGAATACTGAGCAGTTTGATATGCGATTAAATTACGCCTATAATTTCAAATCGAATGTTAAGATTCAGCCATGATAATCAATATGACAAAATATCTGTGAATTCGTGGATTTGGTTCATGCATAGGCTACTGATGTCACATTGATATCTGATGTAAATAAAGAGAGAGAGAGAGAGAAAGACAGCAGAAGGCGTCTCTGTGCTGGTGCGACAGCAGCTGATCACTCCATCACCAAATCATTGCTGCTCACTGCTGTTGAGTCAATTATGACGATCGTATGAAGCAGACATAGGCCCGATTTATTGCAAATGTGACATCAAATACACAAAACTATACTTGCATGTTGTCCACTAAAAGTGAAAATGACGATTTGTGCGTGAATGACGAGAATGTTTGATTCTACGGTTTTGTAGTCTCTGACACGAACAGATGAAAGATGAATTAGGCTATCTGTGCAGGCCTGCTGAAATATCAAAGTGTGTTCTGTCCAAATTCATCTATCAACTATGTATGTGTCTGTGGCATTTAGATTATATATATATATATATATATATATATATATATATATATATATATA